AGGTAAGAACCAACCAACCCACAATGGTATGTACTATGGTTATATCATCACCTGTAGAACAAGGTTCTAAAAAGTTCCCAGAATCATAATTCCATCTTTTGGATATTATCGGCTTAAACGACTACTCTTCGGCCAACAATATTCTCAAGAGAAACTCATCTGAGTGTGGTATCGCGTAACGACTAATTCAAGTCTACACCTGAACAGCCACCGCACCACGTCCTAATAAGGCCAAGATGGGTTAAAGGGTTCTAAGGTCCTCAGCTTCTCAGGCTCCCAGTCGGAAAAAGTAATATAAATTACGACTACTCGTAAGACATCAGTAATTTCCAAAGGGTCCTCCACCGAGCGGGGGATCTCAAGTCAGCTTAGTAAGGACTACTCCACGTAAGCCAACAAGACTATACCACCCTCCTATCATAAGTGCACTCAAGTCCGGGTATAGGACTTATCTCACCACACATATTACCAGGCACCAAAACAAAACAATCAATAACAAACAAGTCAAACAAAAAAAACAATAAATAAATCAAAGTAGGCGAAACCCACTAGGAACCTAAATGTCCCCAGCAGAGTCGCCACTTTTCTGTAGCGGTAAAAATCGTGAGTGTAAGTTATTGATTAACTTAACTCAAAGAAAACAAGAGTCGCCGCCGCACTTTTATTTTATCCCAAAAAGGAAAGGAAAAAGAGCGAACAAAACCAAAGAGTTCTAAAATAAGAATAAGAGACAGAGATCGGGGTAAGGGGGTTGTTTACGCAATTGGAAGGTGTTAGCACCCAAAACGTCTATAGTACTCTATAGGAGCCCTTTGAAATATTTACGTTTTTTGGTTTGAAAATGGTTTGTTTGAAAAGAGATTGGGGAGATGAGAAGAGAATTATTTTTTAGATTTTTTGTGTTTGGAGAGACTTATCGTCTCATGCCTACGTACCCACAAAGTGCAATATGGGATCAAAACCCCGTAGTTCGTGGTACAAATGAAAAAAATTTGTTGGTTTTGATTGATTTTAGATGTAAAGACAAGTCGTCATTTTAAGGAGAAAACTGCGACTATTCACCCACGAGTATTAAGACAACATTTGCGTCACATAAAGATGGAGGATTTGCTTGGACTATCAACAAGACTATCACTCAACATCAACGTGGAAAATGTCAAAGTCTTAATAATATGGGGAATAGGAGAATTACATCTCAACTATAAAAATGAATCATGTCTAAACTTTATGAAAAGTTTTAAAGTGAAAAAGTGCATAAAGGCACAAAAAAGAGTTGATGAGTTTTTGTATTTTTTATGTCTTTTGAAATTGGTCAAAGCATGATTAACATTGATTGACTTTTATCAAGAAGAACAAAGTTTAAAAATCACTTGACGAAAGTCAAGGTTTTATTGCGAAAGCGGTTTTGAAGTTTGAAACCAAGAAGGTTTTGAAAGAGGGAGAAAGTTTTGAAAATTTAAGAAGGGGAGGAGATGAAGTGACTATCCTAGAAACCAAAATAAAAGCTAGAGGTAAGAAAGATCTAACCGACTTGTAGCACACTCCATAGCAAGCAAAAAGGAATTCCATTCGATTTAAAGCATAAGCTAATGAGCGAGCCAAATAAAGGCTAAGATCCACGATACTCCAAGCATAGGAATGAGAGTCCTAATTCTAAGTCCAAAGGTCCATGAAGTCCAAGGTCTAAGAGTAGTCCAAGAGCATAACCACAAAGTTAATAGCACCAAGTTTTTTAGATATTTTTTATCCTTTATTAGTGTTTTGAACAAGGTATGGTCCAAGTGGACAAAAGAGAAATGACATAAACATAAACAAAGATATGATATGAAATGGTAATATGGAAACATAAAAGTAAGAAATAAGGAGTAAGAAGAGAATATAAACAAAATTAAACAAGGATAATGTTAGTGAATTAGTAATTAGTGGTTAGAACATATGATCAATGATGATTAATTCTTGCACTTAGACCAAGGTTAATGAAAACTCATTAGAGGATTGATAGAATCAAAGCCTCCTAACAATGATTTTCATAGGTATTGGACTTAAGACAAGCAACTAAACATACTTGGACTTTTAAACGTAAGTTTGAGCCACGAATGATCATTTTCCGATTAAGAGACACTTTAGCGCTATGTTAAGCAATCGTAATCGGGTTTATGTGGAAACCACGACCATCTGAGGCCGGTCAATAATAATGTTAGTGTTAACACATGTTAGAGAAGTGATATGTAAATCACTCTCCTAAAACATGCCACACAAAAAGAAAAGAGGTAGTGATCTCATCATAATCAAGATTTTTCATCAATTAATCAAAGGTAATCTATCACTATTCCAAAGTACGGAGAATTATCTCAATGATTATTCGTCCATAGATTTGAAATAATGAAGATTAAACAACCTTGATAATCAACAATCTATGATCCATAGATTTCATCGATCAAAAAATAAAAAGAAGAAGAAAGAGAACTAAAATGAAAAGAAACCACAATTTGAATCTTAAATAGATTAAACCATCATCAATATCAATCACCTCTCTTGGTGGACAAAATCGACACCCAAAGTCCATTGATATTGATGAAATCTTATCAAAATTCAAGATCCAAAACAAAAATCTATTTTAAGAAATTATTTCAAAAGAAAAAAAAACAAATGTTAGGAAAAAAATTAAAATGAAATTGAAAAAAGGAAATGGAGGTTTTAAAATAAAAAAATAGTGATGATAGTAAAAAGGCCCCAACAGCCCGATATCCTTTTGAGAAAAGAAAAAAAAATAAAACTAAAATAGAAAAGAAATGAGGATCAGAATAACTTGGTCATCTTCTTCATTTTCACACGCGGCACCGTTTACCACCATAGCCATGATTCCAAGCTTGCTCAAATCAAAGCGGCGGGAAGCGAAACCAACACGGTTGTGATCGATATCAAGAATTACACACAACAGCATCGACGGTTCAAACAAATGCAACTAGAAGTAACAGATCGAAAACATCGGAAATGTCTCAGACTACCTTCAAATTCAGGTGAACGGTGAAACAGAATTCTCTTTTTCTTCTTCTTTGCAAATTACACTCGAGTTGTTGTTGTTCGTTGATGTTGATGAAGAGTTGCCATGATTTATATTGAGATGCGAAATTGAATGTCGGTTTTGATGGTGAAGGTTAAAGAAAAAATGAAGGGAAATGTGGATGAATTTTCAAGGATTATGAAGCTTGAAGGTGATTGAAGGTTCGTTTGAAGCTATGCGAGGAAGTTGAGAGATGATGGAAAATTTGGATTGAAGTTTGGTTTGATTTTTGCAGAGTGATGAGGGGCTATTCAAGCTTCCGAAAAATGAAGAGGTATGCATGCTATTTATAGATGAGAGTGAGAAAAAATGATTTGACGTTTACGTGCTTTTTTTTCTGTGTGTTTTGGTTGATACGTTGTGCGTGACCCATGTGCTGAAACTTCCATGTCGTTTTTACTCCTTTTTTTTTGCAACTCACTTAGGTGACGTGGATTATTTCATCTTTGTTACAGCTGGCTCAATTGACTTTGTAACACGGCTGGGATTTGGCTTTGGCTTGGATACGTGAAACACAACTGGAATTTTATCATGACTTGTAATGGCTCACATTAATTGACGGCTGAAGTAGTGATACGTCTCACTTATTTCAGATGGACTCAGTTCCTCTGGTGCAAGATTGAAGTTTTGCTGCTGTTGCTGGTTCTGAATTATGCAGGGATCGAGTTCGGTAATGCGGCAACACCATTCATACCAGAATCATCCTGGCTCATCTCTTCTCACACAGCTTTCCAAGAACACACTTCGCCTCGTATTGTGGAAAATTTGAATCATAGTAATGTGGAGCTATCTCTACTAACCATTCACCGCGCATATCTGATTATCTGAATACATCTCAGCAGAATAACCGGTAGATATGTCCTAAATTCATCATTAAGAGCCAAGCAAAGTTGTTCTACCAGGTGAAGTACCGGATAGCCAAGGGTAGGACGAGTTGGTGCTGGAAGAGAGAATGCTAACCATAACTCTGAAACCAAAGAAAGCAAATCTTGCAAATATTTTCGAATGTGCTGACGCACAATTGACACCAGAGTTCCAAGCTTCCATGTTATAAAGTCCTTCAAACTATCTTCACATGTACGAACAGTGTGAAAGAGATCAGGCAACACCTTTGGCAAGTATGGAACGCATCCTAGTCCCATTGACTTGAATATGAACATCAGAGACCCAACCACCTTTAAGTGATAACTAGCAAGTGACGGGTCCCTCAAAATCCGCATGAGAATTAATCGCAACTGTGGAATAATGGTCATCTGATGAAGCGAAAGATGGCCACAAGTCCATGGGAGATTCATCGATAGACTGAATCTGTTGACTTGAATCAGAAGCAGGGCGTGTAACTTCTCCATGAACTCCATCACCAGAAACTACAGTATCTTGAGTTGAAAAGTTATTGGCGTAATTCTTTGGCGTTGCAGCAGTATTAATATCATAAACAAATGCTCTACCACTTCCTACACTAACATCTGGTGGATAGATAGTATTTGTGGGTGCCTCAGGTTCATCAACTTTTGTTCCAGTTACAGCGGCTGCAGAAGGGGAGACATGTGATCCGGAAGTCATCTCAGATTGCTGATTAATTGGGGACGTGGTGACAACTGGAGCAACTGAAACAGGACTTGTTGGTTCATCTTGGCCAGGTAAAGATGAATTACCTGTACTAGGCATTTCTTCAGTCACAGAAACTGCAGAGGGTTGAGAACAGGGATTCAGTAGTGGCTCGGGAAGAGTTGCATTAACCTTTTCCTTTTCAACTTGCTCACGGCCAAACTTCAGTTCCTCGGGAATTAACCACTTTGATTCCTTTGTGACCTTGTTGTAGTAATACTTTCTTCCATCAGGACTTGTATACTCCTTCCAGTTTGTTGATGCATCTACCCTCTCAATAGGTGACATCAATTCAAAAGGCTTCTCCCAGCTAGATAATTTAGTCCTCTTATTGTAGAAAAAATTCTTCCAGTAGAGGACGCATGCTCGATCCAATCAGAGGAGCCAATGTTGGTAAGGTGTGGTTGGACGTTTGTAGCCGAAGGTATGACAGTTGTAGCTGTAGGTTACTCGCCGTTGCTCTGAGGAGTTGTACCAGGAGTAATGTTCTGGGACAAAGAACCAGTGGGAGCTTGGATTTTGGGAACAGGTTGGTGTTGGCCAGTAGAATTAAAATTAGTTTGTGGCGCTTGACCATAAGAGGATGGTGCAAACATAAACGATGAAGAAAGTGGCATTGCGGGGTTTGCATGTTTGGCCGAGCAATTGGCATTTGCATAATTTGTGGTTGAATTGGTAACTGCTGACCAACTCTCAGAGGAAACTGTTGAATTGGTTGAGAAAATTGCTGCTGCCGAAGGCCTTCTTTATCCGTATAAACTTGGCACGTAAGAAGTTTCTGATTTATTGTAGAGACCTTCAAATCCATAGTTGAGACATCCAACGTGTGCTGCTCGAGAAGGTCGGTTAACTTATATGCAACAGTTCTAAGATGATCAACAGCATTCACAAGGGCTCTCACAGCGTAATCTTTTAGGTTGTCAAGTACCATTTGTTTCTGTTCACTAAGGAGATAAGATTTTTCACAGTATTCTGCAGCAGAATAAAGTTGAGGCCTCAGGTTCTTAAGTTCCTGCAAGGAGTTAACGAAGCTCTTGCTGCGTTCCATGGAAACTTCATTGAAGGTCATAGCGGAGTTGTGAAACGTCGTCGTTGGGTGCTCCAACTCCATGGAATGTGATTCGATGAGGCTCAGCTAGTCCGACACCAACATGAGGTTCTTCTCTCATATCTATTTTCCTAAAACCAAGCTCCTAGTTCAACCTAGATATCAAATCTTACTCCAACATGCAACAGTAATTTAACAACATTTATCTACCTGCTGACAACAACAACAAATAATACATTGCAATAAACATTAGTGTGGAGGAACGACTTTGAAGATTGAAGCAAAATCTTATCCATTGCATTGATATCCACTCCTTGCTTGATGAGTACATCAACAACCTCAACGAATCCTTTGCAACAAACAGAGACAAGTGCGTGAACTGCAACACGAGGACGAACCATGTTGGACTGCGTAAGAATTGCACCTAAGAGAGGGGGGTGAATTAGGTTCTTTTGAAATTTTCTGGTTTTAAGAGAGTTATGTTACTTTCTTTTTGCAGAGTGATGTTATGAAAGCTTGTAAAGGCAGAAAGTAAAAGAGACACAGAGAATTATAGTGGTTCCCCTCACACTCCGAGGGTACTCCACTCCCCTTTCAACTCGAAAGAGATTTCACTATAGTTAGGATCAGTGTACAACTTTCTTTCTAACCTATAGGGAGATCAAAGGCTCTTAAACACCTTTAAGATCTAAACACTAAGTGCAATGAAAACAATCCTCTCTAATGCACACACTTGCTTTCAACAATCCTGAACAGCAAGGGGAAATACATACAATTCTGATTTTTGTAATGATTTGTAACAATGTATACAGTTTTTTATCAATGCTGAGATTGATCTTCTCTTTCAATGGAAAATTCCACAAGTTTCTAAGACTTATTGCTCAAGAATTTTCTTTTCAAAGGATATGAAATTTATGCAGAAAATTCTTTGTGAAAAAGTGATTTTTCTTAGAAGTGGAAAGATGAAATTATGATACAGATTTTGAAAGAGAATTGAAAGAGATGTTGTTTGAATTTTGAAAGAGTTAGGTATTTATATTACATAAACACCTCTTGATAAAAACATGCAAATCTCTAGAAAAATTGATGAACAGTTGTCATGTTTCAAAGGAAACATTCCACAGAAATTTGATTGAAGAGATGCAATTTTTCAGACAGATGTTTCAAAAATGTTCAGTGAGCAATCGATTGCACAAAGAGACCAATCGATTGCACCTTCACAAAATTACTTGAATATTCAAATTTTCAAAAGAGCAATCGATTGCACCTTTGGACCAATCGATTGCACTTCAAAACAAAAGTGAAAATTTTGAAAAATTTTAAGCATGCAATCGGTTGCATCAAAGCAGTAATCGATTGCTTACTGAGACAGAAGCAAAAATGAGTTAAAAAATTGATCATGCAATCGATTGCTCTAAGAGTGCAATCGATTGCACTTACAAAAACTTAGAAAAATTCTCATTTTAAAAAGCTTGTGTTAGTGTGAAAAGAATGTAAATAATCTTTTAATATTTTGAGCAATTAGGACTTAATTACTTAATGGAAGTTCTCATTATACCTTCTGAGGAAAACATCCTTAAAGTTGTGTTTGTCCTGATGCTTGTGGTTGATCATCTTTGCCTTCTTTAAGTGGTTTGTCTTCATCAAAACATATGCTAATATTTGAGAATCTTGATTTCACATTCTCCCCCTTTTTGATGATGACAAAGCACTCTTCTTTTGTTGCAATGATCTTTCTGGCAAATTCTTTCTCCCCCTCAATTTGTGAAGTTGACAAGTTTTTCCCCCTCTCAATGTGTGAAGTTGAGAAGTTCTGAATTTGTATTGAGGTTCGAAATAGTCTTTGTATTTGTACCTTAAGGATCAAGGAAAGACAACAAGCAATAAAAGAGTAACATCCTTCTCCCTCTTTTGACATTATCAAAAAGAAGGGAAAGATGGATTAAGACAATAATATATATCGATGATAGACAAGATAATATTTGAAAATAAAATACCAACTTATTCATAAATAAAATTACAAATTGAAAACAGTACAAAGAAACTAGAAAGTACGGAATTCAAATAACATAAATGACTTAAAGAGAAACAATAAAACACATAGTAAAAAGTTTTTATGACAGATCCATGTCAAGGTCAAAGGTTGGTTGGTTTGGAAATGTTGTCTGTAGAGGTGATGGACGAGTTGGAGGGACAACCGGGTTTGAAGGGTCATATGGCAGAATGTATAAGTGAGAGTACAGATAGGAGAATTGTTGATTGACGCCCTCTTGGAAGTTGTTGATCTGAGTGTTGGTTGACTCTTGAATAGCATTGTATTGGTCATTGATGGAAGTGTTGAGATTTCCAAACTGTTGAGTCATGTAATCCATTAACTGTTAGTTACTTGGGCCATGTTCATTTGGAGGAGGAGGAGGAGCATCATCATCTTCTTCATTCTCTTCATCATCATTTTCAGCCATACCTTCACCTAGATACACAATGGTTTTGGTTTCCGGGTTGTATTTGACACCCATCCGAAAGTCCATATTTTTGATTGAGATCTTGTTGATATTTGAATCCATGAGATACCTATCAAATCCTTCAAAGTCTACTTCAAAATGTTCCAAAATCTTTGTGATGAACCATGCATATGGTAGAAACTTGGACTTTTCATTGATTCCGCGCATGTGAGTCAAGATTAAGTTTGACCAATTTATGGGAATGTCATTCTTAATAGTATATAGAATCTGCATTTCTAGATCAGTCACGATGCAATGGTTTCCGCCTCTTGGGAACATTATGTAAACCATGAAATAATGAAACAGTCGATCATCAATGTTAAAGATACTTGTCGACCATGAGTTTCGAGAGGGTTCCATGCCGCCTAAGTATCTAACACGTTTTGCATGGAATTCTGCTTCAGTCATACGGCCAAGACTTCAATAGAACTCTCGTTTGTTGTATGCTTGCCAGAGGTCTTCGTTTTCTTCATAAAGTCTCCCACCAGAGATTGGAATGTTCAAAATCCTACCAAGTGTTTTTGAGTGGAGTGGGATTCTTTTTCCTTGAACATATGTTACCATCTTGCCTTCTTCCATTTGTAGGTTGTTATAGAACAATCTTACCAAATCCGGATAATACGGCCCAGATGAGGAAATCACAGGTTCCAACCCACATTCAATCAAAGTTTCTTTGAAAGAAAAACATTCTTTAGGGAATGATGAGAGAATACCATATTTTGGTGTCTGCACAACCTTCTTTTGAAAATATTTAGTGAACTTTTCCTTTTGTTCATCATCCAAGTGTTGAAGAACCAGTGGGATTTTTGAAGATGAGGAGGCTGGACCTTTGCCTTTGTCTTGTGCTGAAATCTTCCTTTTTGAGCGTGAAGCCATGGGAAAATGATGGAGTTTTAAGAATTTGTGAGGAGAGGAAGAGTTTTTGTGGAGAGGTTTTGTTTTGAAGGAGATGGTTAAGATAGGTTATGAGAAGTTGGGTTTTATAATGGTTAAGAGAGGAGTTATTGTGGGATATGAGTGGTTGAAGGTATTGATGATTAAGACTTTGGGAATATGAGAATTAATGGTCAATGTCTTGAGACTAGAATTAAGTAGTAATGGCTAGTCATAGGTAGGTCAAAAATGTAATGATAGGGTAGTTGGAAAGTTTAAGAAACCATGGATCTATTAAATAGAAAGAGAAAAAACAGTTTTATAGTAGGTGCAATCGATTGACACAGGGGTGCAATCGATTTCTCTACCAAACAGAAAAAATCTGACAAAAATTGTAGAGTGCAATCGATTGACACAGGGGTGCAATTGATTGCTTGCTTCAAAAATTAATAAAATTTTTAAAACTTACAGTGAGCAATCGGTTGACACATAGGTGCAATCGATTGCATTCAGTGAAATTTTGAGAAAATGCCACAGATTGAGTTCTGTCATGATTCAACGTCAGTTTCATCCAGAATTCTAAGTTCCCTTTGTATTTTGAAGAAATATTCCTTTGCCAAAGGCTTCGTGAATATATCGGTAAGCTGATTATGAGTATCTACAAATGGTATCTCGACATCTCCTTGAAGTACATGATCTCGCAGAAAATGATGTCGTATGTCGATGTGTTTGGTCCTTGAATGCATGACTGGATTCTTTTTTATTTTAATTGCACTTGAGTTGTCACAGCAAAGAGGAATGCTACCCAGGTCGAGTCCGTAGTCACGAAGTTGTTGCTTGAGTCAAAGTATCTACGCACAACAACTTCCCGCTGCTATGTACTCTACTTCAGCCGTACTAAGTGTTATGCATGCTTGCTTCTTGCATGCCCATGAGACTAATGCATTTCCCAAGATGTGACATGTTCCACTTGTGCTTTTTCTATCAGTTTTACAGCCTGCATAATCTGCGTCAGAATATCCAATTAAATTGCATATACTACCTTTAGGATACCATAAGCCGACATTTGTTGTTCCTTTGAGATACTTCATGATCCGCTTGACTGCCATAAGGTGAGACTCCTTTGGATTTTCTTGAAAGCGAGCGCAAAGACAGACGCTAAACATAATGTCAAGGCGACTTGTTGTCAACTATAGTAAGGAACCAACCATACCTCTATATTTTGTGATATCAACTGACACACCAGATTCATCTTGATCTACATATGTACCGGACCCCATAGGTGTAGATAAAGTCTTGCAATTGTCCATATCAAACTTCTTTAATAATTCTTTGCAGTATTTTGATTGATTGATAAAGATCCCATTCTCGAGTTGCTTGATCTGAAGTCCAAGAAAGTAGTTCATTTTTCCCATCATAGACATTTCAAATTCTCCTTGCATCATGGATGAGAATTCTTTGCATAACTTGGTGTTGGTTGAACCGAAGATGATGTCATCAACATAGACTTGTACCAAGAGAGTATCTTCTTTTATTTTCTTGATGAACAAAGTTTTGTCTACTTTTCCCTTTTCAAAGCCTTTGTTACATAAGAAATTGCTAAGTCGATCGTACCATGCTCTTGGTGCTTGTTTCAATCCATAGAGAGCTTTCTTTAATTTGAAAACATGAGATGGATATTTGTAATCT